ACCGGTAGTACTACCTTAATATGCTCTTTAAACGTGTACTTGGCGCAAGGTACTACCGTATCTTCGGATATGAAAAATCGCTATTCCTGAAGATCCTGGCCAGTGATAATAGAACAAAATTAAATTATTCTATTGTCATTGGTCATCGATAAGTATACAAAGATTCAATCTAATCCGACGTTTTAAAGTGGGTTGAAATCACTTCCAAAGATTCCGTTATTTACATAGATAGATAGATAGATAGGTAAGGGTGAAGTTGATAAAAGCGTGTTAAAATTTTTTGATGATATACTTTGAAAAAAACTGAATCTTAGGCAATTTATACCAATTGAAGTTATTTTTCTAATTAAAAACTAATTAAGTTTTTGACATTGATCAAGATAGTGGTTGAAAAATCATTTCAGAAAAACTTTTTTTTGCGATTTCTCAAAATTTACCATAATCGATCATTTCCACAGCAGAAATTTAATAATATAAGGATACAATTTAAAATAAGTAAAAATCATAAATTTCTGGACCAAGTTTCTGTTAAGAAAGTTATTTCTTACTGACCCAAGGTATTTTACCGACCCATTTATAGGCGGTTGACAAAATAGTTTTCTAATTATAAGTGTTCGCTTGCGATTTTGATATCAGTTGGTAAAAAAATTTTAATATTGACCCATTAAACGCTAAAAGGATCTATAAAAAAATCAATAATTTGATATATTAGAGTTATATGACATGCGCGGTAGTACACACGGAGTTCTGTGTATGCCAACTACAGGGAACGGCTAAAAGCGCAATTAAACTAGGTAAGCGATTCTCAATTAAAATAATTAATTTGAGATGAAGATTTTCGATTTTTGAAAATTTTTAGAATTAAAATATGTTTATCATTCAATTAGCAGGGCAATAAATTACATTTTTTTTCTTGAAATTATGGCTCATTAGTAGAATTAATCAGTATTAAAAAAATTAAACTTCATCATGGCTTGAAATTGAAAATTACACGTATAAAGTATTAATTTAAGTGAGAAGTATTTAAATTAATTCAAACGTAAGATCGACAAATTTAACTCAGAACATAGTGATGTTGTGATATACAAACTTCGATCCTACTTGTGAGAGTATTAACGAGTAAAATTAATTAAATGCTTAACTAGATCCACGTATACGGTGGAGAAACATGAGAAGTAAATAGTTGAGATCAAATCAAATGAAAGTCAGCTCAATAAGCAAGTATATAGAGAGTGAGAGTGAGAGTGAAATTAAATGAAATGGTGAGTACTAGGGGATAAAGAGAAAAGGATGATGAGGATTGCTTTGACTGGTAACCGAATCGGCGGATATCTAAATCAATCAGCCACTAGATTAGGATACTAGTCCCGTAGCTGTAGCTTTAGTTTCCTTTATCAAATCAGCCTCGATTGCTTACACTGACAACGCACGACACACCGACTGGTGAAATCACACATCAAACGTCCGATCACCCACGATAGACCGCAGACAATAGGCAATAGACAAAAGACCTAACCCTTACATTAATAACGTTTGCTCGCCTCGATATCAATTTTCCTTCCGATAACTTTTTAATCGCCGGACATTCATTGTTGGGCTTTTAACTCAGGCTAAAAATTCAAACGATATATTTCAGTTATACACTGACAGAAAATAATTAATAAGTCTTAAACATAAGTAAAAAAATTGTGTGATTTACCTGATATGAAAATTAACCATATTAGGCGACATAAAAACATATTGAGCTTTTAGTTTTAAAGATATTTATTGAAATAATTAAATTTGTACATCAGTTCTTGCATTTTTTTTTATTGTAATTAAATGTATTATACGTTTACAATTCCTCGCGAGTTTTGCTCAATTGTATCAGATATTGTTTGTTATTATAAATTTATATAATTTTTACATGTTTAGTTATTGTTTTATTTTCTTAGATAAAAAATTTTTATTAAAAAACCTAATTAAATATGAGTTATGCACATATTTAGCTTGATATGATTTGATAGGCTTCAGCATAATATTTCGGCAAAGATAGTGTTCAAAAATTGCAACAGAGGGCGCATGATCGCAAATCATCTCCTTACAAGAGAGTTAAGTTTCTCGGGTCTTAAAATGGGTTGGCTTGATCCAAAATTAGTCGTAATAAATAATGTTTAAACATAATCTTTAAATAATTTGGTTTATATCGTTGCATAAAAAAAATATTGATCAGTATTTAAATAAATTATTAATTTTTTTTGAATAATACTTTTGAATTTGTGAAAACAAAATAAAAGTTATTGTTGAATATGGCAAAAAATTTATCTTGATATTTAATTGATCTTTTGGTTGAAAAAATCTTATTGTCAAATTTAAGAACCAATAATAATAAAATTAAACGGATGAATAATTTGTATTTACTGAAATATTATAAAAAATGTCGATAAATTTTTTTAAATATAATTCAAAAATTTATAAATTGTTAATTCATTTAAAAATTTTTCGTAGTAAACATTTTCAATAAATAATAAATCACTGGTCAATAAATTCTCCTGATAGTATGATAAACAAAAAATATTTTTATAAAGTAAGAATTGTAATCTATTACTCAATAATTTTCTATAAATATCATGAATCAATTACTAAAATCTTAAAAATTTTCCTAATAATTAATTTTTCAGCATAAAAAATGTGTATAAGTAATAAATAAATTGTATAGTTATTAAAAGAATTGACCCGCATTTCTACCTGAGACTAGTAAGAAGATAACGTTAATAAATGAACGGTAAACAGAATCACTTGACGTTATTGACTGGGAGGTTATATTCGACTCGTGTATTCCACGATGCTGGTGGCAACGTCCGATGTGATCGCCAACTAGCTCAAGGTAAGAGAGCATTGGCATTAGAACTATACTATTACTATTAGTATTGTATGTATGAATATAAAAGCATTTGTAAGATGTGTATACATCACGTCACCAAGTTCGTGCACCTCTTGATGCATGTACACACAACACATTTAACCTAAGGTTACTAGCAATTGCAATAAACAAGAATATAAATTTGTAATACGGTTCAGCGTCTTATTTTATTCTTTTTCATCTACTAGTGACTGAAAAAATTCTTTTGAAAAAATTAAACTGTCCTTGAAAAAATTTTTATATATTGCATTTACAATTTTCGTAGTAACTTGAACGATTTGGAAAAAATACATTAAATTTTTAAGTTAGTTCAAAAATCAACAAGCAAATATTATATGATTGTTTGATTATGAAGGAAAATTAGTCGCTTAAAAGTAAAACCTTAGCACATAATAATAACTAGCAACCTCGCAGTCACTATGTGACTGTCGTGACTTGTGAACTATAAATAAATAAAATTTTGTTTTATTAAATAATGACTTTTGTAAAATTCCACTGTACTTTCTCAAATATTGTCATTTTTAAAGATATAAGCTCATCCCGATGTTACACTCATCAAGAGCTTTCATTTGAGTACCCACATGCATTTTCATATATTTTTCATATATACACATATATAATATATATAAATATATGAAAAAATGATGTGGGTACTCAAATGAAAGGTCACGATGAGTGTAATGTCAGGGTGAGATTATATCTTTAAATATGTCAATATTTCACGAGATACAAGGTAATTTTTTATAAAATATTTAAAAAATCCTCTTTCAATTCCATGAAATTTGCTCAGCAGTTTATTCAATGAATAAAAAAGTAAATTACTTGAGCTGAAAAAAAAAACAGCGATCACAGTCCTAAAAAAATTGCACAATGACTATCTAAATTCGACAAAAAACAGACGGTATCTTGGCAAAGCCTCGCGGTAATAAATAACTAGATTATGTCATTAAATTAAATTAGCTGATTAATATTCAAAACACATTAAGACTGATGTAACGCGACATACTTGTCAAGTATCAGATTGCGGTATAATAATAATAACTAAAATAACCAAATAAAATAAAGATTACACAAACATTTATTTAATTACAGATTTTACATAAAAATAAAATTTTTAATAAAAGGTGAAAATGATCGAGCATGTCATTCAATATTCCGGTTATTTATCGTTCCCGTACACCTTAGTTTAATTTATTTATCGAGTTTCTCCCCTTGCCCATCCCCGATACGACTCTGTTCTCTGTTCTCTGTTCTCGGTTCAAGGTACAGTTTTCAGGCGGATATTAATCTGTCAAGAGGATTAATAGTTCGATCTTGTATGCGATTGCAATCTGTAAGTAACCAGCTACTCAATGAATCAAAATATTTCCATGTCTGTCTTTCTAATTTTTTCTTTCTTTTAGATTCTTTATTAATTGTCACTATTCATCATTGGCCTTTACACAAAAATAAAATTTCTATTAAAAGTCACTCAAAATCACGGATAAAAATAAAAATTAAATAATCCTTTACTAGTCACATATAGTACAAGTTACTAAAAAGGAATAATTAATATAATGTAGGTAATTATAAAATTATAATTATATAAGCAGCTGGTATTTAAATGGTTAAAGATTAAGACTAAAATATTTCCTGCAACTTTGTAGTAATTTTATCGATTAATAACCGTCGATAAACCAGTTTACGTGATACTAATTTTAGACGCCGTACCAAGAAGGCATGTATAAGTGTGGTTACACATATTCACATACAAACCATTACAACAATTTACAAGGATTAAATATCGCGGTTTATCATGTCCATAAATTGTACCGGTGATTTTTATTTATCACGACAGACTATACCAAGAATAATATAACCACAACGCTAATAAGAACCTTTCAATTTTATTTCCATTAGTCACACCATAGTAACGATATATTAATTGATCTTTACCTATACATATATAATATCTGCATAGCTTCTGTTCTTTATGCAATTTTAATTTACTTTATTTATTTTTAACAAAATATTTTCATAAAATAACTTTATTATTTCTCAATTTATAATATTATTTATTATTTGCAAAAATTTAATCTCACATTTTTTTTAGCTCCAATCAAATCAATTGAATTAACATGTTATTTTCACAAGAAGTTGGCTTTACACACACTCGGTTTGAATTTCTTAGATATCCTGGCTTGCATCGACATCCTTCGGCTAAAGTCTGAAACGATACGCAGCAATACTTTTATTAATTTATTAATTAACAAAAATTTATTTGGAAAATTCTGAATTTAAAAAAACTAACTTATTTGTTATTATTATTACTGTCAGAAAAAAAATTTTTTTGTCTTGATAAATATTTTTATTTACATATTATCACATTATAATATGACAATTTTTTTTATTACGATATTGTGAGGAATATTATGTTGATCACGTTAATTTATGTATGAAAAGTGGATAAGACTTTCGATACTCGTGTGTTAGCGCACTCGCTTTGCTCGTTGTGCCAATCTATTCATAACCGAGAGCCCCTTTCACTCAGTTGCATAGTACACTATTACGTCGGATTACAAATAAAAATTTATTCGCTGGGTGCGTGACCCCACCGCCACCTAACGATACAACTTACGGGGGCTTTTTTAAGAAAATTTACATGTATTAGATGCCAAATAGTTATTTAAACAATTAAATAAACTTGAAAAAAATTTTTTTCTATGTAAAATGTGACATATTATACAGAATGTAGATTGAGTTAAAAATTTTTTCTTAGGTCAGTTGGAAATAGTAATAAGGAAAATAAACACAATAACTAAAACAAATCTCAAGTGAATTAGGTTATAATGAGTGTTAAAATCTGTCAAGGTGTTTATTGTTAAATTAATATGAAAATTAAGTTAGCCGACATCTAAAAACTTTTAGAAACTTTTTTATTGAAAAATTATTACAAAAAAAAGAAAATAAAAAATTTCACTTCTGAAAAACTCGAAAAACTATCAGTGCAATTTTTTAAAAATATTTTTTAGTTTTCATTTAATAAATAAAAAATAATTAAAAAATTTTAAATGTCGGCTAACCTTAGTATTATTAAATTAATATTAAATGAAAAATCAGTATTAATATTAAATATATAACAATCTGAAATTATATAAAAAAATAACGAATAGCTATTTAACATAATTATATATTTACGAATGTATCTTAAATTTTTATTTTCTTTATTTAATTTTGCAATTTATTACCCATAATATTATTTTTTAACCACAAACTTTACTAAAGGATAAAAATTTAGTCCTGGCTGAACATATGAGAAATGTTGAGCAGCAGCTATCCATTTTTTTCGCTAATTTAATTTCTAATTGACAACCGGAAACTTATAAAATTTACAATTACTATTTCTACTAGTATTTTTACAATCAACTACACAACAATTTTGATGACCCATTATATTTTATTTATTTAATTAAACTAGTAATAAAGAGCCACCCTTAGTTCTGTATTGTCCGCAGCGGACGCTGACATCAGTTTTGTATCCCCCACTATGCCTTACGCACCCAGCGAATAGCACATTTACAAAAAATGTGTCAATTTTAGTTTTAATTGATTTGTACGATAGATTACAATTTTGAATAAAATGTAAGCGATTCAAACGCTGTCATGTTGGTTAAACAGGATTATAATACTTAAAAACTAAATTTATCTAGTTAAAAGTACTCTTATGTATATTATTAACCCTGTAAAATGGCCCTGGCTGTTGGGTTTGATTGTTATTAAATAAATAAATAATAGAGGTCGTCTTCTGTACACAGAAAAAAGAATTAACTTGAATCAAATAAATAATTTTGAAGAATTTTATCTTCTTGATTTGAGTAAAAAAATTCTTAAACTAAGAAATTTTTCTTGGTTTACGTAAATTTTATTTAATTCAAGATTTTTCGTCTTGATTCAAGACAATGAAACTCTTAAAAATCATTTTCTGGGCTCAAGAATTTTTCTTTTGATTCAAGTTAATTTTTTTTTCAGTGTTGTCTTTAACATAGTCAAGTATATATTGGTTTTACCAAAGCTTTAATAAATAAAAAAAAAAATTTTCAATTGAATTATTAATTTGTATTTTTTTGAATAAATTGTTTTAATAAAAATTTTTTTTCTAGCGTAAGTTTTAACATGGTATTCAAATTTTTAAATTTGGTCGTGAATCAAAAGAAATCTAGTTGTAATACAAAAAATGTATAAAAAATGATAAATAATAATTATTTTATCTCTTTTCAAAATAAAAAAAAATGAGAACATTTCAATTAATAATAGAAAAAAAAAAAAAAACTTACAACTTGACAGTTTCTATGAGGTATTGGATATTCGCAAGAAGGTTCACACAAGATGATATTGTGCGTATAATATTGATTTTCTCCACAATATCTATCAAGCTTCGAGTATACTTTGAAAATCTCACCATCTGAAGCAAAAATCAATGAAAAATTAATTTTAACTAGTTATATAATTGTTGACTCCTGTTGGTCCTTTAACTCACCAGCATCATCAGGAATGTCTTGATTTTCTGGATCTTCAGGAAGATCGTCAGTACTGCACTCTTCAGGCTTCACACACAGGTCTTCTGAGTTTCTTACAAAATCAGGATTGCATTTACACCACGTCGTTCGCATCTATGGATTAAATTAAATTAAACAATATATTTAATTTTCCAACTTTTTCTACTCACTTTAAATGTTTCATTGCAAAAATGAAATATTACTCACATATGGACAAAATTCAGGCTTTTGATTGTTACAATGTGGCTCACATTCATCGTGTAATTTAATAAATTCATTTTCTCGGCAAGGATTTGCTCGAAATGCTTCGGTCACTGTAAAAGTCAAAATTTTACTTTAATTCATATTTTATACTCTAAGATGTCGAGATTAAATTCGAAATGAATTTATAAACAATAATTTTTTTTTTCGCAAAAAATTTGACTTTTCTGAAATATTGAAACAAATTATCTTAAAAGTTACTTAATTTTTCAATCTTACTGATAAATCCTAACGTAAAAAGTAAAAGATAATTAATTATTAACATTATTACATTTTATTAAATAAAATTATTTACTTCAATGTTTAATCAAAAAGTTTTACTTGTAAAAATTAAAAAAAATATCAATGTAATTTTTTTTAAACACAAAATTTTTTTATTAAATCAAACTAATTATAAAAATTATTAACAATCTGTCCCACAAATTTTTTATCGTGTACCTATCTTTATAAAATCACATTTTTTCAAAAATTTTTTAATAAAAATAATTGATAGTAAAACAGTAAAAAATAATTTGAACTTACGAGTAAAACTGACGAATGCAAAGCTCAAAAAGATCCTAATATTGTAGTACATCATTTTGAAAAAAAAAAAAAAAAAACTGTATACTTGGTCAAGACTCTCGTCCTCGACTGGACTTACCCGGTGATTTCTGCCCTTAAAGTACCCGATAACGTAGAAGGAGGAATATCCTTATCTAAAAGTAAAATAAATTTTTCGGACGACCACTTGTTACTTGGTCCTTATCCAGCCGTGTCGATGACGTCATGACTCAACTATTTGCGATATGCATCTCATCTGTAAAAGGTATCTCTGCTTTCTCAATTTATCTAAAAGTTTGTCTGGCTGTCAGCGTAATGCCCGTAACAAATTGCTACTAATCTCGGGTACTCTGCTAATACGTCTAGTGTTTTTAAGATTTTATTTTCTATCTATCATATTGTTTTTACCCAAGTGGAAAACATAACGTTCAAGAGGCTTTTTACTTAACATAAAGTTATGTTTATATTATCTCTATGTATCTTTCTGTTGATCTAGTCTACAGTAGCTTTTAGCTTCCGTAAGTTACATGTCACCATGGATCTTTAAATGGTCGTTTAATTTTAAATCGGCTACTGAAATACTTGAAATATAAGTTTATCTTGAGCTTTTTAAAACTTAAATTTTCAACTTCTGAAAATAAAAATTCAAATTTAAATTATTTTTATTAATAACTAGCAACCTTGCAGTCACTATATGACTGCTGTGACTTGAGAACTCTAAATAAATATAATTTTGCTTTATTAAATAATTACTTTTGTTAAATTGCATTGCAATTTTTTAACTATTGACGTTTTTAAAGATATAAGCTCATCCCAATGTTACACTCATCAAGAGCTTTCATTTGAGTACCCACATGCATTTTTATATATTTCTCATATATATATATATGGGGCATTCCACGCCAAATCGACCACTTTTGATTTGGCTGAAAGTTTATCATCCTTTTCTACCCTATCAAAAACGTCTCTCATAATTTTTTCAAATTTTTTTACCCAACCAAAAAAAAGTTCCGAATTTTTCAAAAAAACCGCTTTTTTATTTTTAAATTGCCATAACTTTTTCAAAAATTGGCTTATCGGGACGTTTTTTTTTTTCAAAATTTTTGTTATTAAATGTTCTTTTTGGAAAAAAATATAAAAAAATTCTTTAAAGCTATCTTCATCGTTATTTTTAAAATTTTTAGAAAAAACTCCGAATTTTTTGATGAATACCATTTTTAGTTTCTTTTTTCTTTTTCTTATTCTAAACTTTGACATTTTTTACAGATATCATGAAATTTCAAGAAAGGTGTTTTTCCGATTTCTATTTGTTCTTTTCAATTAAAAAAAAAAAATTTTTTTCTTTTGTCGTATTTCCAATACGATTGGTATAGAACCAAAAGTTGAACATGTTAATCAAAAAAGTATAGAACCATCAGTTTAATATGTTAATCATCGAGAAAATCAATTTTTTTTAAATCAAAGAAAAAATTGAAAAACAATTGTTTTTTTTATTTAATGCTTAATGAATGGTGGGCGATTGGCAAGTGGACCAAAAGTGGTTGATTTGGCGTGGAATGCCCCATATATAAATACATGAAAAATTGATGTGGGTACTCAAATGAAAGGTCTTGAAGAGTGTAATATCGCGATGAGCTTATGTCTTTAAAAATGTCAATAATTCACAAGATACAAGGTCGTTTCTTAATTATGTTAAATTGCACTGTAATTTTTTAACTATTGAAGTTTTTAAAGATATAAGCTCATTCCGATGTTACACTTATCAAGAGCTTTCATTTGAGTACCCAGATGCATTTTTATATATTTTTCATATATACATATATATCTAATATATATAAATATATGAAAAATTGATGTAGGTACTCAAATGAAAGGTCTTGATGAGTGTAACATCGGGATGAGCTTATATCTTCAAAAATGTCAATATTTCACGAGATAAAAGGTCATTTCTTAATTATGGATCTAGAGATAAAGTATTTTCGAATGCAGTCTAAATACTTATCATCATAAATTGACTATCGGTGAGAATGACATGAATCCTTGAAAAGGCACAAATTAAAGTCAAGACCTTTGCAATGACACTAAATTTTACTAAAAAAACCAATTTTATCATATTACTATCCTGGACATAAAATATTTCTTATTTTTTTAATAATATAGATTACCGCCAAGATTAAAAATTTTTTTTTAATGATTAATTCATTTATTTTAAAAGTAAAACTTTTACATTGAAAACCACAAAACAATGATAAAAAACACACGAGACTTCAATACATTTTTACAGCTGATGAAATAAGAATAAAAATTAATGTAATAAATTGATTAATGATTATTCAACGGTTTCTACTGGAGTTTCATCGGGAGTTCCAAAAATTTCTTCGAGTCTCTTTTTCCATTCCTCGTCACTAAGTCCGCCGGTTATATCCTCAATCTTCGGTGGTTCGGGTTCCGGCCAATCTTTCTCATCGTAGGAGTTATCATCCAATTCTTGTGTATACTCTAGCTTGATATTAGGACAGTCTTCGATTCTTATGCAATCGCTAGTTGCGTTTCTGATGTAGCCCTCAATGCACAAGCAGCCGTCTGACTCGTACTGGAATTCAAAAAATGTTAGTAAACCATTGATTGATTTCATTAGGTTAAAAATGAAAATTTCTTACTCTGTAACACAAAGTAGGACGTGGATCGTCGCAATAAGCTTCACAAACTGGTATTATTTCGCTAAAAGATGCATTTCCAGGGCAAACGATTGGAGCTACTGTGTTTTTGAGGTTTAAGTTTAAGTAGTCTTCATCGACATCTCCGGTTGGTATTGCTTCGATCCCTTTAAGAATATTGTTTTAAAAAATTTTTTTAAATCTCTTCAAGTGTTGTAATTATTAGTGACTTTGTTTATTTATTTCAAGTACACTTTCAAGAGTCAAATTCATTTAACTAAGTCATTTTTATAAGTATTTTTGTAAATCGACAGTCTAATTACCAATTGGTCTAACTCCTTATTTTTTTAGAGGATGATTTTTTAACATTTTGATGTAGCAATAGTCTAATTATAAATTATTTTAATGATCCAAACCAAAATATTATACCTCGATTAGATATTAAATTGTTTTTTAAAGTGACAATAAATTTTGAACTAATTATTTTTTCATACAAATGGAAGATTTTCTAAAATAGAGTTAGACCATTTGCTAATTAGAACGTCGAAATGATAAAATAATCATATACACGGAAAAAAGAAAAATACAAAAATTACATTATATAATGTAATGAATGTGGCGTTTGGTGTAAAAAACTGGAAAAATTACAGTTTCAGACTGCAATTATTATAGATTTTGTAAGAATTACAGTGTAAAATTTAAATATTACATTGAATGCTCTGAAAATTAACATTCAAAATTTGAATTTAGAAAAATATTATTTCGAACTGTAATTATTTTAGTTTTAAATACGACGGGACACATTATTACTATTTATAATATAATTTTTCGATTTTTCTTTTTTCCGTGTAATTTTGAAGAATTTTAGCATATTTTTTTTTTTTTTCAAAATGTCTACGAAAATATTTATTAGGACTAATCCGGCTTAAGATCCAAAAGTTTTTCACTTGACACTTTTTTTTCTATTGATGTAAAACAAAAAAAAAAAAATTGCTGTTTATTTTTGACATACGCACAGAAAGGATAAACCTTTAAAATGATAAAATTAGAAATAAAAAAAGTTAAAATTTCGCACTATTTTTTTGACAATTGTTGACTCCAAAATAGCAGTTTATTTATTAAAAATCTCTAAAATTTTAAGTAAATTCTTTTCGATAATAATGTAAAGAAAAGTATAACAAAATTTCACCAAAATTGATCAATAACTTTTTGAGCTACAGCACCAGCAATTTTTGAAAATATGATTTCGATAAAAATGGGTTTAAAAATGAAATTAAAAAATTTTTAAAGTAATTCCGCCCTTGAATTTATTCATTACCTTTAAATTTATTTAAAAATACGAAACTTTTCTATAAAAGTAAACACAAAATTGATTTTTTGAATTAAAAAAATTATAAAAATTTGATTTAAAAATTAAAGTAGTATTCATAGGAGATATTAAAAAAGTAAAATAGTTTTTTCCAAATTAAAGATCAAAAAACACTATGTAAGTACTTACATGAGAAACAAAATACCGCAGCGAGAAAAATAATTTTATAATTTGAAGACAACATTTTCGATAACACTAAAGCATACTGGGATTAATGTTTCATTATATAGGTTTCAATAATCATAACAATAATATAATGATTAAGTTGCCGAATGTATAACTTACGTTATCTGTAAAAAATTTTAAAAAATTTATTACAATTTTTGTTTACTCAGAATAGATTACTCCAGATATCTAATTATCTGACGTCTTTTAATTTTGACGAGTATATGAACACATGTATGGGGAAGAAGGTTATTATTGTAACGTAACACAAGTAGAAGAACCGAACTAATCATAGTCATAATTAATATTGATTATTGTTTGATAATTATAAATCATAAAATAATACAGACGTCAATTTATATACGTATAACGCAATAAGATAGATGGTAACGCATGTTTGGTTTTGGTAGAACATCAGGTATATACGTTTACTCAAGATAATTTTGTAGAAACTTGGGGAAAAACGAACCTTGAATAGCTTCGAACACTTGTCGTTACGAATAAAATAAACATGGTACTCGGTGCGGTTGAAAAATAAGTTATAGACTGAGACGACTATAACTGAACTGTTCAGCCGAACTAAGTCCTGAGTAAACTTAGTTAGCCTAAGTATAGTCAAAGCATTCCCTGCTATACATATATCTATCTACTATACTATACATATCTTACTAAGTTTACTCAGGACTTAGTTCGGCTGAACAAGCTCACTGTGATATACGGGATACCGAAAATTTTACTCGTATATTTTATTATAACTAAGAAACTTTTTTTAAGATTTTCATAAAAAACTAAACTACTATTAAAAAACAGCTATTATTTGTTTTTTTCAAACTTTCATTGATTTTTACCATCTAGATTTTTAAATATTATTAAAAAATAACTGTATTATTCAAAAATAACCATGAGTAGAAGTGAGTAAGGAATAGCAAGTGAGAAAGACAAAAATATCCTAAATTATACCCAAATTTACTCGCACTATACGATAAAGCGTAAATAGGTAGATTGAGACTATTCGTGGCGATGTATGTTTTCATAATTCTCCACCTAAATGATGATTGAATCACATATTTTGAATTGAAACCCGTCAAAAAAATTTCTGGCATAAAAATTACCTTTCTGGCATAAAAATTACCTTACAATTTCTTGTGAGGTTTAAAGTCCTAGAATAACTATCATTTTTTCTATTTTTTAAAATGCATATCTGTTATTTATTTTAAGTTAAACCAACTACAAAACCAACTTTTGTCTACTAAGATGATAATTGACGCACATATTTATAGAAAATGAATGAAAATCAAAAACTTAATAAAATTGAGTTTTTATTCTCATACATAGCCTGATAGTACGATATATAACCAGAACAACTTATATTAGTTCATACCGAGCCATACAAAATTGTACACATGTGCTGATTTTTTTTTTTTAAGTAAAATTAAAAAAAAGTTTGGAAAATCCAAAAGTGCACGACTCATAATGCTCATTTAATTATGAAATATTAATAAAATAAAGAATGTGAAAAAAAAAAATATATAAAACAGCTAAAATAGCACGACAATGCGCGAGCGCTTCTAGTGGGATAAATGATATATATATAGATATACAGTCTTCTGGTTTTTGTTTTATTTCATTAATTATACATAAACAACAAAAAAATTTTATTCAATGTGTTGGATATAAGTGCAATACGCACATCTTGATGTCATGACCTGAGTGGTGGGGTAGATGACTTCATCCAAGGGGGAAGTGTGCATACACATTATAACACTAAGTTAGTTCTAATCAACGATGCTTGTTAGTAAGCATCGAGCTTATTTTTGTACTTAGATATTAATAAACCCTTGTTTAATATATATTATGAATTGTCGTTTTAACTTATTAATATAACCTCATATCAATACAATGAATGTATTTTTTCGTAAGTTACAGAGTTTTCAGAGTTTCTTACATGACGGACAGGAAAATTTTTTTATCTATTTTGATGATTTTTTCCGTTTCTATTACACTAAATCAATTTTTGAAAAGTGTCAAATTAATCTCCATTAAATTATCTTGACAATAATATGCAAAATATCTTGATTCCGTGAACTAACAAGACTATGATAATAAAAATAGTTGCCGAAATGAGGCGAAAAAAAAAATTTCGATCGTAAAGCACTCTGTGATGCTTCGCATCATGAGTCGTGCAAAAAAAAGTATTTAATTATCTGTACTAATATCATAAAAAGGAAAGATTTGATTGTTTGTTAGTTTGTTTGTTTGCATTGAATAGACTCCAAAACTACTGAACTGATTTGAAAAATTTTTTCACTATTGAGGACCTACACTATACCCGGGTGACATAGGCTATATTATGTTATAATTAATTTTGAAATTTTTGTTAAGTAATATTAGTTAAAATATTTTAACTCGTCGGAGATATTGCTGAACATATTGTAGTTATCTATATAATTAATCTGATCTTCTATTAATTTTCAGTTGAGTCAATTTCCATTTTTATTTTACCTAAGATATTTTTTCCAAGGATAAGTCTAAAACAAAACCATCAGACCATATTAAAAAAGATTTTTTCAGAAATAATTTTTTAAACACTATTAAATAAGTTTTATGAACGATTAGTCATTAATTTAGTGCGTAGAAGTGTTTATTTAATATTGAACAACAACTTTATTTAATTAAAGAAATTAATCATACAATTTTTCAACTATAATTGATACGTATTCATTATCTTACATTTATTTAGATAAAATAAAATTAATTTTGAGCAGCATCAAGCTAAATTCTATAATCAACTTTACCATAGTCCTTAGGAGGTGAGTCAAAAATTTTTTCTACATTTTTCTTGAACTCCGGACTATTAACATCAACTTCATCTTGATTATTTTCATGAAGATTATAATTATTCGGCCCGAAGATTTGCTGGATAATTTTTTGAGTTTCAGGGTCATCGAGGTCAAAATCGGTGTGTTGATTCACATACCCAGAGTTCTTGGGCTCGATAAGGACCTTCTGGATGTTTTTCCTTAGTGTGGGGTACTCGTCGTCAACTTTATCCTGGTTCTTTTTAGCGTACCAATCTTCAGGCGTTCCAAAAATTTCTCTCAGCAGTTTTATTGTTTCTGGATTATTCGGATCGATATTGTAAGAATCCTCGGGGTTACTTGAAGGCTCGTTAGTTACTTCTGGACATTCTTCGAGTTTTACACACTCGTAGTGTTCGTTTCTTACGAAACCAGGAAGACAATGACATCCATTAGTATTTTTACTTACGTCAAAACTCGAGCCATCGGGATCTTGACATGTCGCATCACCACCATCTTTATAATTGTAATATTCATTGGTATCACATTTGTAATTTGGAATCGCTTCAATCCCTTTAAAATAATTAAAAAAAGAATTAATAAAATATTGCAATTAAAATTTTTATTAACACAACGATTATTATAAAATTATAACTTACAAGAGATGCAAACGAAGAGTAAGAGTATTTTAGAGTAGATTGGTAACATATTGATCGATTGTAATGGAGAAAATCCGCGGGCTCTTTATATACCTGGAAATTTTTTAAAACTAATGTGTCATCTGATAATTAATCTGTTTGCTTGACATAATTTAACAATGTTGTCTTACGGATTAAATTTATTGTCTAAATATAATCAAATAATATATAGAGGACAAATGACTCATTGATCTTGATGTGATTTAATGGCTTATGTAATTTCTTTATCGGGTGACAAAGTAAGCATTTTAATTTTCATAATAATATTTCACATTGTCAGTGATGGAACAGTTAATAATTAAGGGGGTTCCCTGGTCTAGAAGTGCTAGCATGTCTAGCATGTCTAGCATGTCTAGCACGGCTAGCATGAAATTTCAGGTAATTTTGGTGCCGTAAAAAAAGGCAATTAATATTTTTACTATACATTTTTTTATAAGTTATTTATTAACATTATGATAATACAGAAATAAATATAAAATGATCCAATCTGTACAAATACAAAATGATGTAGATTAATTTAATAGTTAATAAATTTAAATGAATAAATCACATACTTGAGTTTGAAACAGCAAATTTTTAAAATAAAAAACAATTTTTTTGGTAAATCACTATAGTACGTTAAATTTTTTTTTTACAAATATGATACTAAAATCATTAAACACCTTACATTTTTTGGTACTTGGTATGAAAAAATTACATTTTAGTTCAAAAATATTTTTAAGAATTTAAGGTAAAAGCCCCAATAGGTGATCACGTACCAGTATACGATCACTCCATGTATTTGTATATCTATATTCACAAAAAGTTTGGAAAATCCAAATGAGCATGCCTTAAGCGCTCATGTCATACATAAATTATTTAGATCGTAACAAAAATTATTCGTTTTTGATTTGAATTTTCCCGCGAGTAGTATTATCCCCTCTGTAGGTCAAACTAAAGAAAAATTTTAACAGATGATAAAACAGTTAGTAATTATACCATCATGTATATGTATAGTTTCTGCTTGTTTATAGTTATTTCAATTCTGTTTATGAAAAATAATACATATGGCTGCCGAAATCGCAGAAAAAGTCACCGAACTGACAACCGAAAAAAATTAACTGTATCGAAACGGAATTATTTTGACACGCAATTTTCTCAAGGGTTTTGATAAACTTCCTCAGGAATAAAACAAAAAAAAAATTAAATCGTGAAAGTGATTTTTGACAAAGTTGTGGTGTTGTCAAGCCCATAGCTCCCGTGAATACCACGCTCTTATCCATTTAATTCATCAGAAATACGAGTTTTTTCTGAGAAATCTTATTTAATCGATAAGAAAATTTTTTTAACGTGTTCTGTAGTTACTATTATTTATTTCAATATGCTTTTTATCCATAATTTTTTTCGTTTAAATTATGAAAATCACGTTTTAATCGAAATCACGATTTTTAGGCGAGAGTAGAGCATACCTGCGCGCTTCGCGCTTAAGGCATGCAATATAAAAATCAAAAAAGTAATGTAAAAATAATAAAAAGAGTAATGTCGCTATGGTTGGAACTACGGAAAATTTGAAAAAAAATTTTTCACAAAATGGCGACTGCCTGAAAAAAAAAAAAAACATATTTTTTACCACTTTTTTTGACTTTTTCGAATTTTTTTAAAATAGTAAAAATTGAAATTTGGAATGACCGTAGTTCCAACCACACTAAAAAAAAGAAACTTTTACTCAATTAACAATTTCTTGGTTCAAGAAATTCGATGACGATCAAATATTCTATTATTATTATTAATTATTAATTTCTGAAGAGACACAATAAAAAATTTTGCGTCATTTCGTCAAAACATTTTGTGTTAAATATTTAACACTTTTTTATGTAAATTTAACATCTATTGTGTTAAATTAACACGCGCATTGACGCAAAATAATATTTAACACTTTTTTATGTAAATTTAACATCTATTGTGTTAAATTAACACGCGCATTGACGCAAAATTTTTTACTGTGGAAGAGCATCAATATTTATCTTTGAATAATAGATAAACAAGAAAATAGCTTTATTTAAATTAAATAAAAATTATTTCAATCAATTTAACAAGTTCTTGCGCTAGGAATATATATTCTTGAAAATTTTCAAGAACATGAATTCTTATATCAAGAAAATTTTCTTAATTAAAGTATTTTTTTTCTCGGTGCATAGTGACATTACTATAGATTAATAATCTTTTTTGTTTTTGTGTTACCGATTGCTAGGAGGGTTGGAATCGTGGGTATCGTCACGTGCCAATTTTTTGAGACTCTCCCCTCCCATTTCATTAGCTGCTAATTTTTTGAATTTTCATCTTTTTTTTTCTGTATTCTTATAATGTTTATAAATCACTTATAAAAAAATGGATAGTAAAATTATTGGTTGCTTTTTTTTACAGCACTTTAAAAATTACCTGAAATTTCATGTTTCTAGACTAGAATACCCCCATAATTCAATAATTAAAAAATTGGAATATCCAAAATAACGCGTCACAAAGAAGCAAGATCAATCAGTCTTTCAGATAGAATTTCATCGAAAAAAAAAAACGAAACGATGTTTGTTATAAAAGAATGTAATCATAAGCACAATAAGCGATCAAGATAAAACTAACTATTTTTTCGAGTAGATAATAAAATTCTAGCAATAATCGGTTCTCTCGTTTAATTCTGGCGGTCCATTGGATCAATAGCAATTACGTTCTGTCAGCGTCCCCAAGATTAGGACAAAGTAACTCATCCTTGTAGTGGACTTATCTAATAAAATACTCGGCGAAAAAAAATACTGCCGCTAAGTAGAACCGATTATCTTTCTGATTCACTGAGACGTACGTCAATCCTCTTCTCTTCTCTCTTTGTTTCCTCTTTTCGCCGTGATTCTCCAGGGAGTTCATGTAATAAACCCCAATTCCAAACTCACTTCATCCCTAATTTTACTCACATAGACTCAAACATTTTTCTTACTTTCGGAATAATTTACAGATTGACTAAGTAAAATTGCAAATTGTCTATGTTGATAATGATGATCGAGATAAAGAGAATAGAAGATAATGATTAAGGTTGGTTAAGCAGATCGACCAACTAACCTCTAGTCAAATAAAACACTTACACCACTGAGCGGTTGCTGTTAAACAAAGGATACTCCAATATTTGACGGTCTAATGTACAAATGTACTCATTTATGAAGTACCAGCTTTGTGAGGGCTACAAAAATAGAGATCCGTCTAAATAAACATCTCTTGGTATGTATTTTTCAACCAAGGAATATTTGAACGATGTATAAGCACATTATTTAGTTACAAGAAAAAAAAAATAATAACTAGCAACCTTGCAAGTATCATATTAATAATGTTATTTTCTGATTATAAATTATCCAACTTTTTAATACGTATAAAATGAATAATAAAAAAATAGAGACCTAGCCTGAGTTTGGGATAAATTATTCGCGGAGGTGTATTTTTGTTATGTGTGAAAATAAATGTAACAAAGCAAGTATCGTATTATAGGTCCTTTATTTTTAGTGTTTCATTTTTTAGGGACGTTTATCCTTGTTGGGGCATGGCAGGGTTGGACCCTCTGCTCTGGTTTCTCTCGTCTCTCGTCTCTCGTGTATATGTATATAAATGTATTCACATGTATGCCTATTGCGTATTTTGTAGGCACGAGGCACGAGGCGTATTTGCGAGCTCCAAGCTTCAGCTACGAGGGTGGTACGGCCATGCCAGTTCCCAATTAAACAAATGCCACCCAGTTTGCAAAAGCACCCCTCGCCATACCATACAGCGTAAGCACATTCTGGGTCTACATTTTACACTCTACTGTTGTAATGGTAAAGGGAGGTTTTGGTCAGAGGGTTGCACGTGTCGACATTTTGCTCACTATTCCCATACTGTCTTTCTATACTGTGTTTTGCTTAACTTTATAGTTAATGTTATTTTGCAATGCTTTTTCTTCACCTTTGTTATTTTTTTTACATTATATATATTATTGAGAGAATAAGCAAAATTTTGTGGCCGGTGTATTTATATGATAAAATGGGTTTTTATGGTTGAATTTGGTGTCGTTGGAAAAATCTTGACCTGGAGTTGTGCCTTTTCATGGTTACATATCATTCTCACCGATAGTCAATTTATGATGATAAGTATTTAGGGTGCATTTGATAATGCTTTATCTATAGATACATAATTAACAAATGACCTTGTATCTTGTAAACTATTGACATTTTTACAGATATAAGCTCATCCCGATGTTACACTCATCAAGACCTTTCATTTGAGTACCCACATCAATTTTTCATATATTTTATATATGTATATAAATGAATATATGAAAAATATATCAAAATGCATGTGGGTACTCAAATGAAAACTCTTGATGAGCGAATCATCGGGATGAGCTTATATCTTTAAAAACGTCAATAGATAAATAAAAATACAGTGCAATTTAACAAAAGTCATTATTTAATGAATCAAAATTTTATTTATTTATAGTTCACAAGTCACGGCAGTCACATAGTGACTGCGATGTTGCTAGTCTTATTTAAAAACATTATCCTTAGTTGGTTAAAATAATAAACTTTTTTTTTTTTTACTTCACGAGTTAATGTCTTGAATTAATCACACTGAATATTTCGAAACAAGAGTAAAATTTTCAGGAGAACATTTTTTTAGAATCAAGTATTTTTTTTGCACTACTAGAATCTGATTTCTTCTTAAAATAAGAGATCGGAATATTATTGAAAAAATATTTTTCTCAAATCAGTACTTTTTTTTCTAATTTACCAATAATATTCTGAATGAAAGCATTAATTGACCTAGAATCAACTAAGTGCCGAAAATAAAGGTCGATAGTACTTACCTAAGTGACCGTGCGTCAATAGAAGAGCAGAGTACTTGAAAAAAAAAATTAAATCGCAGATTCCGAGGGTAGGAATTTTCAACATTGCCCACAAGTGGTTCGTTAGAGTCTGAGTCTAGAGCACACAACATGCCGTCCCCCAGGCTCAGCCG